GAAAGCTCCAGCGAACAAACAAGCAACTCCATTTGCATGCAAGTGCCACCGCAGCACCCTCAGCAGAGGTGGAAATTGCAGCAATATAAAGTATGTTAATTCTCCTGTTAACAATACAAGGTGTCTCCTCGAAGAGCTTTTTCTGAAGCGGAGGTGTTACAATCAAGTCTCCACCATCACAGGTGGATTATCCAGCTTGCGTATAAACCAGGCTGGCTCCTGAAGCAATGCAGCTGCTTCTGTATAATTCTGCCCTCAAGCTAGTAAGTCTCACTAAATCCCGTCTCTCCAGGGGGCCCCGTATCCTGATGCCCCAGCATTTCTGGTATCAACAGCGGCGCATGGGCTCAGTGCTGCGTGAGCATGTTTTTTCTGGTTTTGGACCCAGGCAGGTTCTGGATGCTCAGTGGCGCTGGTTTTAAAGGCAGTAAGCCTTGCCTCAAGTGGCTCCACTGAGGGGCATATTGCAAAGACACCTGAATTTGTGAGATGCTTTTGGTTAGGACCTTAACTTTTCACCTAGACAAATCAAACTTGACTTTAATCTCTCCCTGCCTCCCACTGTTCTCCCCATATGCTAGGAAATCAGAAAGCCTGATCATGAAAATTAAAGAGGAAAAACATTCCCAAGAAAAGCAAGTGTCATTTCCAGCTTCACTAGCATAGTCTTTCCCAAGTTCCTTGAGATTTCATTAAGATGACAACACGTGCAATTTGTGGAATCAGTTGCAAAAACACAGCTGCTGGGAAATGACGTTTCTCCAACCCCAAACAAACTTTGGGCACGTGGTTCTGAAGCACCATTTTGGAAGAGTTCTCAAAGGTAATACAACAGCAACAGCGTAATTCTATGAAGTTACGGATTCAGGGAAGCTGAGGCCATTTAATGTGAAAAATCTCACCAGTGGTTTGAGCCAGAGGAGGACAGCTTGTTTCCAGTATGCCAGGTTATACACATGCAATTCACAGTACGCTTGCCTCATACACGCAATATTTATCTATACTAAAAGGACAGAAAAAAAGGAAACATCCCAGGCAGTTTATAACCATGTAAATTCAAGAAAAAATCTCGGCTGTAGCTTAGCCATGGAGTTTGCCATAACATAAAACACATCTTTCTTGCCTTTGAGGACAAAGTTTCTGGCTAGTAACAATTGTTCAATATTTATCTATACTAAAAGGACAGAAAAAAAGGAAACATCCCAGGCAGTTTATAACCATGTAAATTCAAGAAAAAATCTCGGCTGTAGCTTAGCCATGGAGTTTGCCATAACATAAAACACATCTTTCTTGCCTTTGAGGACAAAGTTTCTGGCTAGTAACAATTGTTGTTCCGTTGGCTCTGGAGAAACAGAGCTGTAAGAAAGACGAAGACAACAAATCCACAGGCAACTAAATAGGGGCACGGGATCACCAGCTTTTCCAGCTTTTTCTTCTCTCCGCACATGTTATTCCATTTGTCAGTACGTATTGGTTTTAATACACCTGGAAATGAGCAGAGGTGGTGCCATCTTTCCAGCAACGCAGGGTTTCTACTGTGACAGAACGACAAAGAGGACAGGTTTTCTCCCTGTCAAACCAGAGGCAGAGGCATTCTTCGCAAAACACATGCTGTGGAGACAAAAGGGCATCATCACGATGAGGGCAGGAGGTCCAGTCTTGTCTGCACTTACGCACACATAAGTGCACACTCAATAGGACAGTGATGGGAGCGAGTAATGATTCAAGTTCAGGTGGACAGTGCAGCTGAGCAGCAGTGCTCACATGATACGAAAAATAAATCCCAGCATTACTGGTACACCAGTTTGCCAAAGCTAATGATATATTACTCTGTTTCTTAATATAGCAATAGAAAGAAACATTAAAAAGGCCTACGACATTTGGGCTAACAAAGTTGAGAGGGTTTCCTCTACCCTGTTTCCATCCTCAATTCCCTGGGTTATTTTACAAGTCTTTACTTTGCTCCAACAACCCTCTTTCTTCCCCTTAGTCCTTATGCATTTGTTTTTCTTCTGCTCACACCACCCAGTCCCAGCCAGTAGCTCCGCAGTCCCCGTTTCCCCTTCTCTATAAATGGCAGTTTTCACCCCTTATCTTCTTCTCTCATTTCTACACTGAGCCACAACAGGATTCTCCCTCCAGACTGCCTTGGGTACTAACAGAGATCAGGGGGAAAGAGAAAGCTCCAGCGAACAAACAAGCAACTCCATTTGCATGCAAGTGCCACCGCAGCACCCTCAGCAGAGGTGGAAATTGCAGCAATATAAAGTATGTTAATTCTCCTGTTAACAATACAAGGTGTCTCCTCGAAGAGCTTTTTCTGAAGCGGAGGTGTTACAATCAAGTCTCCACCATCACAGGTGGATTATCCAGCTTGCGTATAAACCAGGCTGGCTCCTGAAGCAATGCAGCTGCTTCTGTATAATTCTGCCCTCAAGCTAGTAAGTCTCACTAAATCCCGTCTCTCCAGGGGGCCCCGTATCCTGATGCCCCAGCATTTCTGGTATCAACAGCGGCGCATGGGCTCAGTGCTGCGTGAGCATGTTTTTTCTGGTTTTGGACCCAGGCAGGTTCTGGATGCTCAGTGGCGCTGGTTTTAAAGGCAGTAAGCCTTGCCTCAAGTGGCTCCACTGAGGGGCATATTGCAAAGACACCTGAATTTGTGAGATGCTTTTGGTTAGGACCTTAACTTTTCACCTAGACAAATCAAACTTGACTTTAATCTCTCCCTGCCTCCCACTGTTCTCCCCATATGCTAGGAAATCAGAAAGCCTGATCATGAAAATTAAAGAGGAAAAACATTCCCAAGAAAAGCAAGTGTCATTTCCAGCTTCACTAGCATAGTCTTTCCCAAGTTCCTTGAGATTTCATTAAGATGACAACACGTGCAATTTGTGGAATCAGTTGCAAAAACACAGCTGCTGGGAAATGACGTTTCTCCAACCCCAAACAAACTTTGGGCACGTGGTTCTGAAGCACCATTTTGGAAGAGTTCTCAAAGGTAATACAACAGCAACAGCGTAATTCTATGAAGTTACGGATTCAGGGAAGCTGAGGCCATTTAATGTGAAAAATCTCACCAGTGGTTTGAGCCAGAGGAGGACAGCTTGTTTCCAGTATGCCAGGTTATACACATGCAATTCACAGTACGCTTGCCTCATACACGCAATATTTATCTATACTAAAAGGACAGAAAAAAAGGAAACATCCCAGGCAGTTTATAACCATGTAAATTCAAGAAAAAATCTCGGCTGTAGCTTAGCCATGGAGTTTGCCATAACATAAAACACATCTTTCTTGCCTTTGAGGACAAAGTTTCTGGCTAGTAACAATTGTTGTTCCGTTGGCTCTGGAGAAACAGAGCTGGAAGAAAGACGAAGACAACAAATCCACAGGCAACTAAATAGGGGCACGGGATCACCAGCTTTTCCAGCTTTTTCTTCTCTCCGCACATGTTATTCCATTTGTCAGTACGTATTGGTTTTAATACACCTGGAAATGAGCAGAGGTGGTGCCATCTTTCCAGCAACGCAGGGTTTCTACTGTGACAGAACGACAAAGAGGACAGGTTTTCTCCCTGTCAAACCAGAGGCAGAGGCATTCTTCGCAAAACACATGCTGTGGAGACAAAAGGGCATCATCACGATGAGGGCAGGAGGTCCAGTCTTGTCTGCACTTACGCACACATAAGTGTGCACACTCAATAGGACAGTGATGGGAGCAAGTAACGATTCAAGTTCAGGTGGACAGTGCAGCTGAGCAGCAGTGCTCACATGATACGAAAAATAAATCCCAGCATTACTGGTACACCAGTTTGCCAAAGCTAATGATATATTACTCTGTTTCTTAATATAGCAATAGAAAGAAACATTAAAAAGGCCTACGACATTTGGGCTAACGAAGTTGAGAGGGTTTCCTCTACCCTGTTTCCATCCTCAATTCCCTGGGTTATTTTACAAGTCTTTACTTTGCTCAAACAACCCTCTTTCTTCCCCTTAGTCCTTATGCATTTGTTTTTCTTCTGCTCACACCACCCAGTCCCAGCCAGTAGCTCCGCAGTCCCCGTTTCCCCTTCTCTATAAATGGCAGTTTTCACCCCTTATCTTCTTCTCTCATTTCTACACTGAGCCACAACAGGATTCTCCCTCCAGACTGCCTTGGGTACTAACAGAGATCAGGAGGGACGGCTGTCCAGCACACAACCCCATCTACCCCAGACTGGAAGAGCAGGAATAGGGCAGGAAGGGAGTATTAGAAGCTGTAAGAAGCTGAGACCTCCTCAACACGTGTGGAGTCAGCAGAAATGTTACTGACTCTGATAAGCACATACAAAGATGGCTTCTCTGGGGCTTACAGCTTGATAACATCTGCACAGATGTTCACAGGAATAGTAAGAGGCACTTTCGATGCACAGGTGACCTGCTTGCTTTAATCTGATAACCCTGTTATGAAGCATGGGAATGTTAAAGCTCTTCAGGAAAAGGCTCTTGAGCTTCATTTTGATATCACGAGAGAGCATATATCCCACCAATTCCATTCCCAGAAATGGCTATATCATCCTGCCTAAGGTTTTCCTGCATGCACCCACACATCAGCCAGAGACGGCCTCCAGGATGCAGAATTTCAACTCCAACAGACAAAGCTTGACTGAGTTATATGCAACTGAAGAGAAAATCTTGGGGAAGCATCACCAGTCTTGCCACGAGGCAATGCCTTCAGCTGGCCTCTGATATATTAACAGAACCCACGGCAGCGTGGTGTGTTCGAAGGGTTTTACCAGCACCAAATTAGGTGCTGGTAAAAAGGACTACTGTCCTTTACCAGGACACCAGATTAGGACTACTGCATTACTCAGAGCATGCCGTTCTTAAGCTCTAGGTTTTGCCAGTGTTTATCAAATGAGAAACAAAACAATTCCCAGGTGCTGGCAGCGGTGACCAACTTCTATATGCAGAACTCCTTTTATTCCTGGCCAGGTGTTCAGAGGCCAGACCATGATTACCTGGTGCTGCACCAGTCTTCATGCATCCTATCAGGCTCATTCTGGATCTGTGCCCCTCTCATAGCACTTGCTCGTAATTCGGTTGGCGTATTGACTAGCCAGTCTCCCCAAGGGTCAGATAAAAATGTCTTGCATTCTAGATCCAAGGTTTGCACTGCCAACTGGCAGTCCCTGGACTACAAGGCTGGTCTTTTCCATCTCAATGATCAGCCCCTAAAGAGTGGCTCAGCTATCATGAATCACTGGCTATCCGGAAGAGGGCAATAAATATCCACTAGGACCTAGATCAAGACCCAGCAAATGATGTTAGAAGTACTCAGGCTAACTGTGCCTCTCCCCAGCTGCAGAAGTTAACCAAATGAATGCCAATAGGGGAACCTGATGTGGGAAGCTTGGGGTCTTACCTGGCACATAAGGATCAAAGGTTCCCTGAATTCTGCTTGGCAAATGGCACAGATGTCACCTGCCTCACTGCACTGCTGGCTGGTAGCACGAACTCCATAGGTCTGTTAGGGAGAGATGGAAAAAAATCCGAATGTCAAAGGGTTTGAAGATAATCTGGTTTGTGGCTAAGCATATACATAAGACACTGTTTTTCACACCCAGATTCCCTGCATGACCTGGGAAGGACACCGGCGTTATGTCACTGTGTATAGCGAAGAGAGATTTGGGCACCAGCACACAGAACACAGGGAGTCTGGAGCTCTGTGTTCTCTGTTTTGTTTTCCCCTCAAGCTGACTCCATCTTTTAGTGCCTCCACTTGTGGAGCAATGATAATGAAATTTAATGAGCTCAACAGGGAGCTGAAAGGATTAATTCAGCATCATTTGCAGAGGTGTTTAGATAGTGGGAGGTATTATTATTAGCAAGTTAGACAATAGAAGAAAGAATAACAGCAGCAGCACCCACAGGCTTCCCACTTTTCTTTTTAAATATGTGGAAGGTAAATGTTGCTTCTCCTGTTGTAACAGTAATAGGGGAAATGGAAACATGCTGAGGAAAAATGACCGGCCCAAGCCCACAGAATAAGCAAGGCAAGCTCTAACAAACTTCCATGATGTTATGTTCCTTTCCTCTACAGTCTTTGATTATACCATTTTAAAATATAAGTCACCGTATTTCACTGCAACAGATCTAAATATCAGTACTGCATAATGCTATGCCTGGGATAATTTCTGTGCACTGTAGGATCTCTTTTAATGTCACTGCACATCAGGCGCTACGTACTTCTATTTAAAGTCTTTCTCACACTCTGCACTAACAAAGCTTTGTCAGCTTCTTGCAGTTTTGGCCTCAATGGATTAATCCATATTACACAGGGCTTCCAATCAGGCAAAACAGGCCAGACTAGCAACAATGTCTTACCACAGCTGGGACAGGGCAGGTATCAGAAAAGGTTCCTAACATCCCTCACAAGAGATACCAACTTATCCAGCCATGGGACAGCAAATCATTTTATTCTATGATCCTGATACACGGAGCAATTTTCAACTTCATCGTTCAATAGTAACAAGGTTCCACCTATGAAACTGGTCTAATGCGTATGACTACTTACCTGTGGGGTGCAAAGGACCTTCAGTGCCTTCCGGACACTTCCCACACGACCACAGATGTCAAAAGACTGCAATAAAGACGTTCCATTTTAGACACTTTTCACAAAGTGTGTGTGCGTGGGTGCGCATGTGTGTGTACAGTCCAGAAGCTCAGGAAACAGTTTCTCCAAAGGGATACTTGGAGGGAACAAAGATCCTAAGTAACAATGGTGACAAAAAAGATTTCATGGTCATCATGAAATATGTAATAAATGTGAATTGACAGTGGAGAAGAGTAGCCAAAAAAGCTCTGGTAACAATGGACTGCAAATCAGGGGCTTTACAGGACAGAAAGAGGAGCAGACAGCAGGGGCTTGTGGTAGGGTAAATTGCCCAGCCCCACTAAGTAGGAAAGGGCTAAAATGGACCCATTTCCACCCTGAGAACTGAGTACCTGAGAAGCCCAGAAGTGAGGTTAGAAAACACTGCGGCTAGCTTGAGAGAGGGGGAAGGAAGGGCAGTCTTTTCACATGGAAGAGGCAGAAAACGGCTTTCCTCAGCCTCTGGGGAAAAGGGGGATTTCCAGGGCTGTGCGGCTCTGCCACACAGCTTGACACTTCAGGGCCCAGATGATATTATGAAAGAAGGAGTGGGAATTGCCTGTCCTGCTGCAGAGTGTGATTTAGCGGAGTGCAGTGATTAAATGCTACCAAGAGAAGAACGGCATGAGGAATGAGAAGCAGGACTGAGGCTGAGTTGCTCCCATCCGCCTAAAGAGTGAGAAACTTCAAATGCCAGGAAGGGAGTGGGTTTCCAGCACCTCAGTGCTTTGCAGACACCCAAAGATGGCCAACAGCAGAGGCAACGCTAGGTCTTTTTCTTCCCCCCTCCCTCCATTGCCCAGCAAACATGATGTAACTGCATCTGGAGAGCAGCGCTCGTTCTGGGCTCCTCATTAAAGACTAAAAGCAGTTCAGAGAAGGGCAGAAAATGAGCCTGCAGAAAATGATTTCTGAAAAGAGACTAAAAGACATAAATATTTACAGCTTGGCTGAGCAGTACAAAAGTGGGGGGGAAAGATGATAAACTGCCTACAAATATCAAGGGGCTGAGCAAAAAAGGAGGCACTCAGCATTCTTAAAGTGAAAACACGGTACTACTAATAAAAGGGAAAACAGCTTGAAAACCTAATCTGGTATGCCAGCTTCATCTTCCCTATCTGCTGGCAGAACACAGGGAAAAAGACACTATGAACTAGACAAGATACGAAGAAATGATAGTGCGAAGAACAGCTCTACATTAGTTGGGAGAAGGGCCAGATGACATAACAGGACCTTTCCATTTCTAACCTGCCTGAGTGAGAAGCGGCTAGGAGGGCAGGGGAAGATGTGATGCACAATACGTAAAGCTGTAGTGGACTAGTGGTACAAAGGCACCAGAATGCCTGGAGTTGGCTTTCTATTTTTTTTTTTTTTGGTTAGCATGATTAAGTGGGCTCACTGCAGGGAATGCCAATGAGATCATCGTGCAATAGATGTGGAATCAAATGAAGGCACCAATAATGCTTCTAGTCAGCACGTAAAAAGGCTCCCAGGGTCCTTCCAGTAATGCTTCCAGTCAGCAACTAGCACTTGAGGCTGCCGACTACTACAGACTTTTTCTCTTCTAACAAGGATAGGGATCAGCTCTTTTCCACAGTCCAATTCACAGTTTTTTCTGGTTGCTTTGCTTGTATCGTGACTTCTAATGCCTTTGCTCTGGCATGTGTCCTCTTCTCCCAGTCCATTTCCCCCCTTCAATTTTTTTTCCTCTGGAGTTTCCTGTACCCCAAAAGATGCGTGTTTCAGTAGTCTAACATCCATTTATCACCCCATGCACTGAAGTCTGTGTTGCATCAGCCATCTTTCTAGCAATATGATTGCAACAACTGGGTTCACAGACAGTGAGTGCTTCTGTTCAGGATAGGGAAAAAATAAGACCTGGATGCCCTTATTGATGAACATCTGGAATTTCTTTGCCAAAACCAGAGGTTCATGTTTACACAGTCCAGACAGAGACACCAAGACAGCTCCCATCAGCTGCACTATATATAACCTTCTGAAGGTCGAGCCTGCCCTTTGTGTA